TCCCCTCTGTCCAAGCTCTTCCCTCCCCACGCCCAAGCCCTCTCACCTTCTCCTGGCTATCACTAACTTCTGGGAGAGCCCTGATCTTGGAATCAGGCTGGCCTCGGTTTGGACCCCAGTTCTGCAGGTCTGTCTACTGACCTGCAGGATGGGATTACGGAGTGCCTGCCTCCTACGCAACATGAAGGTTAAGTGGATTAATACAGGGAAAGTGCAGCCCATAGTAAACCTTCAGTATGTGCCAGCTGTTACTGTCACATCTCTTATCAAACAAGACCCTCATTGTCATTGTCACTGCCTTTGGGCTCCTCTTTGTCACAAAGAGGAGGCCTGGGGAGCCCATCTCATCTGTCCTGGTGTTTGGTTTTACCCACTTGGTGACTTAACTTTTTAAAAAAATATATTTTTATTGATTTTGGAGAGGAAGGGAGAGGGAGAGAGATAAACATCAATGATGAGAGAGAATCATTGATCAGCTGCCTCCTGCACGCTCCCTACTGGGTATCTAGCATGCAACCCGGGCATGTGCCCTTGACCAGAATCAAACCCTACACCCTTCAGTCCCCAGGCCAATGCTCTATCCACTGAGCCAAACCAGCTAGGGCAGGGGTCCTCAAACTTTTTAAACAGGGGGCTAGTTCACTGTCCCTCAGACCGTTGGAGGGCCGGACTATAGTTTAAAAAAAACTATGAACAAATTCCTATGCACACAGCGGCGGCAAAAACACCCGGCAGGCCGGATAAATGTTTTCTGCGGGCCTCATGTGGCCCGCAGGCCATAGTTTGAGGACCCGAGCTAGGGTGTGACTTTACATTTTAAAAGATGAGTTGCCAACATTTAAACCGTGGGCCTTCCCACCAAAATCAGGGTTTCCAGTTTCCCTTGGCACATTGGGAGATGTGGCAACACTGGGCCGCTCGCCACATGCCAACAGCCGTCCAGAGCGGGGCAGCATCTGCTTCTCCTCACAGGTGCCCACTCACCTGCCCCATCATCTAGGTTCCCTGGGGAGAGTGCAGTTTGCAATCGGTTAGGAAAAGGGAAGGGTGTGCAAATGTGGAGTCAGATGAAGGCAAGAAAACTGCTATTTCTCATTAGAAAAACAAAACCAGCATCTCTGAAGGCTGCATCCCAACCTCACAGGCACTTGATAAGTGTGTAGATCAGTGGTCGGCAAACTCATTAGTCAACAGAGCCAAATATCAACAGTACAACGATTGACATTTCTTTTGAGAGCCAAATTTTTTAAACTTAAACTATATAGGTAGGTACATTGTTATTAACTTAATTAGGGTACTCCTAAGCTGGCCTTTGCTAAAAACGTCCTCAGTCTGATTGAGGTACGTTTGCTGAGGTCGACCCTTTCCAACTCTCCCATCCACACTCATCTTGTATACTTGTTTCGTCTATCTCCTTCCCGAAAACCAACTTCTGCGCACGGACTACGAAGTTTCAATCACACTGTATGTGCGCGCCCGCACGTGGTATTTTGTGGAAGAGCCACATTCAAGGGGCCAAAGAGCCGCGTGTAGTTCGCGAGCCGTGGTTTGCCGACCACTGGTGTAGATCATAGAATGCTGCCAGGGATCCCAGGAGGTAGGGCTGTGACCACCACCCCCATTCTATAGATGAGGAAACCGAGGCCTGGAGAAAGGAAGCCGCTTGCCTGGGGTTATCAACAGCAATTAGAAAGTGGAAAGCATGATCTACTTTCTTAGTCCCCACTGGGCTCTCCTGATCCATTCAGGATCCTGCAGGCATTTGAGTTTATGCCTCAGCTTGAAAAACAATACCAGTTAACATCTGTTGTGCATTTGCTATAATGGCAAGTGCTCTAAGTGCTTTATATGATCAATTCATACATGTAATATGCACAGCAACCTTACAGGTAAATAGTACTATTATTCCGTTATTCCCACTTTGTATATCAGGAGGCAGAGGCAGAGAGGTTAAGCCACCTACCCAAGGCATAACAGCCTATAAGTAGCAGAGTCAGGATTTGAACTCAGCCACCCTGCTCAGATGCCCCTTGGGGAGGAGACCCTGGCCAATTCTTGCTTTGTCCCTAACCTCCCATCTGCCTCCCTGCAGGTGGTGGGCAGCTCCCTTCTCTTTGTGCATGACCACACTGGCCTGGCCAAGGTTTGGATGATCGACTTTGGCAAGACAGTGGCTCTGCCTGACCATCAGACACTCAACCACCGGCTGCCCTGGGCTGAGGGTAATCGTGAAGACGGCTACCTCTGGGGCCTGGACAACATGATTCGCCTTCTTCAGGGGCTGGCCCAGAGCTGACCCGCTTGCCTTTGCGAGGATTCTTTATTGGATGGTACTCAGCTGGCTGGAGGAGCCCTGAGGTGTGCAGGGGCCAGAGTTCAGCCACGGAGGCACTGACCTCTGGGACAGGAGAGGTTGTGGCACACCGCTCAAGCCCAGTGTGGAAGATCTGAAGGGCCTTGGAGACCAAGTAGCACCCAGCCTTTTCATGATCCAGGGGTTGTAAGGACTGGAGAGGGGACATGACGTGGCACAATTCCCATTTCCTAGATGGGTCAGAGCCAGACTGGGTCCTCTGGCCAGCCAGGAAGGTTCCAGAGGGGCTGCTGGAGGCCACAACTAAACCATACATCCTAAAAGAACACCATTCAGATGTTGTAGACTACAGGCCTGACACATGCCTCTCACGACAGGAATGACTGTGATCACTACTCCTTGTCAGCCCCCTCCGGCTATGAGCTGGCTCTGATGCCAGGGACCAATCAGCTTCATCTGTGGTGCCCCAGAACCAGACCTTATTTGTGAGCAAATGCAGGAGCTTCTGTCTGCCTGGGAGCATTATGGCCCCATCTCTTCTTCGGAGGGCCCTTCAGGTGCTGACAGAAGCTCTGAGAAGGGTGTGACACCATGGGACCGGCCTGAGAGCTGACGCTGCTGAGCAGAGCCCAGTTCACCCTGTCCTGCCCTCCCATGGCCCCATGGGATCCTCCCTGCTCCTGGGAGAGCTCTGCTGACCCCCTGCAGACCAAAACCACGGCCACATCCTGTGCCAGCACTGTGACCAGCACAACCTCATTCCTCTGGCACCATCTCAGCTTTGGGACTTCCTCCCCTTACCCTGTGAGGTCTCCTTCCTCCCCGCTGACGGAGGTGGCAGGGGCAGGGAAGCTGGCTTGGAACCAGAGCTACCTTCCTTTGGTGGCCTGCACCCCACAGCCCTTGTGTGGGAGGTGCCCTGCTTGTGTCAGAGGCTCAGGTGGGTGGGGCTGCTGGCTGTGACCCCAGGCTCCCAGCCTGGTCCAAACCAAAGCCCCTCTTCCTTCCCTCTCCTCCTGTACTTGTAACTGGCTTCCTGGCCCACAGGGCTGGGCTGGGGAGGACAGGCAGCTCCCTCTTTCTGAGTCAAAACTCTAATGTAGTCTTCCAGGGCTCAGGAGGCATGTTCCTTTTCTATGGACCTTTATACTTATTTATACAAGAGACAGGTAGTTGTTAGACGGGGCAGTGCTGGGGAACTGGAGACAACATCGCTTCACTGCCTTCCCCCGACGACCCCCTAATAAACAGGACATTCAAAGCCAACTTTGTGGGATTTTTTTTTTTAAATCTGGAGAGTGTGGGCTCAAAGCTCAGGACAGCGATCACTGTGGTCTGGGGTAGATGTAGGTTTGGAGGTTCCTGAGCTGCTCCTCTTGTGCCTCACTCTGCTGGATAAGGCAGGATAACTGTGGTGACCAAGACAGTGCCGAGCCCTCCCAGGACAGTTTACCAGACAGAGTGCCAGTCCCTGCTGTGAGGGCTGCGAAGGGGAAGTGCAGGTGGAGGGATTAGGGCTGGGATGGAGGATTCCCCACTTCTGGTTAGAAACACTACACTACAGAAACAAAAAGCACTATACTTATACTATATAGTCTCTCTAAAGTCCCTTTGTACTGATGACACAGCAGTGATTAACACAGATCTGTTCCTCCCCTTTCGGAGGGGAGGCAACAGGTATTCATGAAACTAATCTCTATCTACTTATCTATTTATATCTTCGTAAGTACTAACTGCCTGATTTGAATCCTGACCCTGTCATTTGCCAAGCTATGTGACCTTAAGCCAGTGACTGCACTCCTCCGAGCCTTAGTCTCTCCATCTGTAAAATGGGGAGGACCTAGTGCCTTCCTTATAGGACTGGAGGATTTAATGAGTTAACATAGGTAAAGGGGTTGGCACATTTAACTGCTCTTAGAAAAATTTCTTCTTTTTTTTTTAAGGAGAACAGAGGTGGGGAGGGGTTTAGCCCTGATTGAGGGAACCTTCCTTGAGGAAGTGATAATGAGCCAAGATGGTGTAGGGGTTCAGACCAAGTCACCCCAAGATGTGCCTCTGTGGTATGTGGGTTGTTGTGAGGTAACCAAGACACCACAAGCTCAATGAAACCTCTGCCCCACCCACCCTTTACTACCTAGAAGAATTTGAATTCAAGATCTTGCCCATAAAGACTGAGATAACCTTTTCTGACCTATCTATAGGGCAGGGTAAACTAATTGCTGAACATCTGCTCTTATCATCCTGCAATGACCTTACTCCCTCTGAAGCCCCATGATTATCCTTAGCTCAGAATGACATATATACCTCATTTTCCCTGTCTTGTCTTAAGGTAAAAACATTCAAGCCTGTAAAGAATTTGTGTGAGTTTATTTGAGCCAACCTGTAGACAATTGCTGGGAAGCAGAATTTCAACAGATTGGGATAATGCTCCAGGGAATAGCGGTTTTTCATCTATTTTTATGCATTGCAGTCAAAGGAGGGGACGTAGGTGGGTTACATGAAATCCATTGGTGATAGACTAGAGAGGCAGGAGAAAGCAAAGCAGGGAAACCTCTGGGATTGGATAAAAAGTAAAATGATAGACACCTACTTAGGTGGGTACAGGATAGTTAACAGTCAACATGATAATAACAATAACAATGAAGAAATGTATGGTCTCCTGTCCTGGCACCCAGGGCATTTGGTTGTGGCCTGAGGGGTCTGGAAAAAAGGGAAGTTACAAGTTACCCTGACATTTCAAGGATATGTTATCATAGATGCAAAAAGACAGATAGGCTGTTAAAGTAAAAGTTGACCTTGTCAGTGAAGATACCTGCCTAGGACATAGCTACCCACCATAATTGCTCTTAGTTAAAGTTTAATTTCAGGCCATCCTTGTGGTTACTTTAGGTCTCTTGAGTTTGCAAGACTGCCATGCAGGCCTTCCTAGAGTTTGTCAGGTTAGCATGTGGCCCCTTTTGTTCACACTTGGTATCTCTCATGTATGTGGGGTTGCCATGTGTATGTATTAAATTTGGTTACTTTCTTGTTAACCTGTCTCATGTAACCTCATTAGAAGAGATGAAGGAACCTTGAGGGGAAAGTATCTTCCTCTCCCACACTGGGAAGTTGAGTTCTGGTCAGCAGAGGGCTGCAGTGGGGTTGCACCAGGGACCTGAGAGGTCAGTGTGGCTGGTGGCAGGAAGTATGAGGAAGAACAGCCTGGGATAAGGAGAGGTGAGCTGGGGCTGGGATTTTAATTCCTATTATGTGAGGAACAAGAAGCTGCTAGAAGTTTCTCTGGAGAACTAGTTTGCTTTTTGGGGGCTCCCTCAGCCCTGACCCCACGTGAAGATTCTGGGTGGCAGCAGGGAGCCCAGTGAAGCTCTTGCAGCTGTCCAGAGAGATGTCGATGGTTCAAAAGAGGGTGACCACCCATGTGAAACGAATGGATGCAACATTCAGGTGGGGTGGACAGGACACAGGGTCTGAGCTACTGTCAGTCTCTCTCCTGGAAGAAGGAACTTGTCTGTCCTGCTTCTGGCTCTAACCCCAGCCCACACAGTAGGTGCTCAATACTGAGGGGATGGGCTTGGGATGGAGGAGCTGGGAGGATGCCCAGGCTTAAGAATGGAATGGTGGGGGGGACACCTGCAAAAAGGACCTCTGGCTGAAGGTCCTCAAGAGATCCTGCCCAAACCCTGGGGTGGTTGCACAAAGGGAAAAGCTGGGGTCTGGGCCCTATCACCCCCAGTTTAGGGCAGCAGCAGGCTAGGGGCTGGAGTCCTATGGTCTGAGGAGCAGGGCCTGGCCACAGAGGCCAGCTCGTACCCCACCAGCAGGAACCACATACACCCGGCCATCAGCGGCCCTAGAGGGTGAGAAGTCCGTCAGCTGTAGGTTGCTATCCTGGACTTGGTCATAGTCCCACAGCTGGTAGTGCCAACTCTTGCCCTGCTTGGAAAGAAGGTAGACTGCTCCCAGGGAGCCTTCCTCTGGCAGGGATGGTAGTTGGTGGGGCATGCTGGGCACTGGGTGAAACAGGCCTGGCAGCTCAGGGTCTTCAGCATAGCCGGGGCTTGGCACACCCTGAACACCCAACAGGACCCCTGCAAGGAGAGGGGGAGGCTGTCAGGGGGGTGCTGAACCTTGATGAGCTGGGGCTCACTGTGTTTTCCTCCACAGCCTTCCAGGAAAGGTGCTGCCTAGTCCCCAACACTACAGAGAAGTCAGGGGGGCCATCGGGCACACAGCTGGGCTGGGACTTGGAGCCAGTGTGTCTGGCTCCAGAGCTTCAGGCATTTTAAGTCCTGCCTCCTACAGCCTGTCAGCACTCGGAGGTGGAGAGGAGACATTAAACAGAGCAAACATTGTCACCCAGTCGTCTCCCGCTGTCCAGGTGGGAGACGCTGGGAGTGGAGCTCTCAGGCCAGAGCCAGGAGGGGGCTGAGCAGAGACTTGATCCAGGCCACCTGATGGACACAAATCCATCCTTTTTTCCAGGCCGGTGGAATGAGGACAATGCTAGTCACAGCTAATGCCTACTGAGATGTGCAACGTGCCAGGCACCACCGTTCTAAGGGTTTCCCATGCTCTGCCAACGAGGCAGCCCTATGAGGTGGGTACCACTGTTACTTCAATTTCTAGATTGGCACATGGAAGCCCAGAGCCAGAGCTGGAAGTGGCAGGACTGGGACTGGGGTCCAGAATGTTTGATCCAAAAGTCTGCGCACTGAGCTTGTTTTTAGGAACCCCAGTTGGCAGACACCGAGGTACCTGCTGCCTGCCAGGTCCTGTCTTGAAGAGCACTGGGAGGTGCCAGTGCCAGGGTGAGAATGTGAGGGGGGGTCATGGGGGAGCTGGGGAGATCCAGGGTGAGAGTACAGGGACACAGGAGAGGGGACCCACCTGTGCTCACTGCCCAGTGGGCCTTGTAGCCCTTCCTCCGACATGGTTCATGGTTGAAGTCTTCATCGTAGCTGATGCTGGGGTTAAGGCCAAAGCTGTGATGTGGCCCCAGGGCCCACACTTCTCCACCCCGACCTGTTCCCTTCCTGTCCTGGGATACGGGATGAGCAAGGGATGTCCAGAGACAAGGTGCTGCAGCACACGGCCTCTGTTGGGACCACCCAGGCCCCCACGGAGCAGCTCAACTTGGCAGCCCAGTGCCTCCTCAGCCAGCCTGCCCATGTTGGCCACTGCAGGGACAGAGCACACACAGAACAAGGGATCACTGTGTGCTTCTCACCATGTCAAGGGTTCCCTGGGGATCGATGCCTCTAATCCTTACTGTGACCATGAAAAGCATAGAGAGGGTAAGGGTCCAGGGCCACACAGTAGGAAGAGGCAGAGTTGGGCTGGGAACCCAGACAGCCTTGCTCCAGAGTCTACCTTGTAACACGGTGGGGGGAAGGGCCTGAAGAATGGAAGAAGGGCCTCCCACACACCTGGCAGTGTCTCACCCAGCCTCTCCAGTCCGTTCCTGGTGAAGAAGGCCAGACTTGTGACCCTTCTGCACCCAACTCACCAGAGAACATCTCTCCCTGGGCCGTGTAGCCTCTCTCCACGGCCATCTGCACGAGTCTCTCCAAGGGAATGCCGCTGGGGGGTACCAAGACAGTGCCTGCCATCCACAGGGCCACCAGCCCACACCTAGAAGAGACAGACCCAGCCCCTCAATCCCTAAGTCAGGTCTTTACTGGCCCCCCTCTGCCCTGGAAGCTGGAGTGTGGGGAACAGGATGGCTGCCTGGGGGAGTTTCCCTCCCCTCTCCACGGCCAGGTAGGAAGACCTGATACTCTTTCATGGCAGAGAGGCTGAGCAAGTACTGAAGATGAGGGGAAGGGAGGGTGGGGGGAGATGTCACCTGGGTTTCCAGGATGAGTAGTTGCCAAAGTAGAGTTAGAAATAATGGACCAGGTGCATTTATTCACTCACTTGTTCACTGGTTCCAACTCTGTTTACTGTGCATGTGCCCAGGACCCTGCCCTGGAAAGTTCCCCCTCTCCTTCCCCTCCCCTCATTCTCCCTGGGCTGTCGGGATGAAATGAACCCACTCTTCCCACCCTCCCGGGTCAATCCTCGTTAAGCGCAGCAAAGGCAGAGGCTTGGGACACACGGCTGGCAAGGGGTTGAGGTTCCAGATGAAGGTACATACTGAGGGCCTTCTTGGATGAGGGAGGGCAGGTCTGCACAGAAGAGGATCCACTGCAAGTCACTTCTGAAACTGAATCAGAGCAAGCGCAGGTCACCCGGGAGCCAGCTCCTAGTCCCCTGAGGTCTGGCTGCAGGAAGTGAAGGGGAGGAACAGAGGCCCAGCAGTCCCGAGGCCGAGCACGGCTCCTGGCTACCCCTGGCTGGGTCCCTGACCTCCTTCGCCCCTGACAGGGCACTTTCCCTGCCCAGTCTGTTTCTTCATCGGCTCAGTGGGAATGACCCTCCCAACTACTGCTCCTGTTCCTTCTCTTAGTTACTGAAGGGCAAAGAGCAGGTGTGCACACGTTTTGCAACTAGGAGCCAGTGATTTATTGGAGAAAATTTCTCGAGGCGTGTCTCTATACCCAAACTTGGTGACTTTTCCCTCCTCAAACCTGTTTCTCAGGCTGTTAAATAAGGTAAGAATTCCTTAAATCAGCCTGGGCTAAAACAGGTAGCATGCTCCAGGCCCGGAGATCACCTGGATAACGAGCCCTTGCAGGTGTACCAGCCCCACCCTCTGGGAGGTCAGAGTGGTGGTGATGCCCATCAATTCTTCACCCTCCACAGGAGGGCGGGAGATGCAGGTGCTTGATTGCTATTTTAAGGCCAGTGAAAGGGCAAGGCTGGGTGGTGGGAGTGCCCTGATGGCAGGGACACGCAGCTCCGCGGTTAAAGTCTGGCGCCCCGGGCCAGCATGCCTACTGGGCTCTTCCCCGCTGGGCACTGCGGCTGCCTTCACTGCTATGAGCATCAGTTGCTCCATCTGGAAAATGGGATAATAGTTCCTGCCTCCTGGACTTGCTGGGAGGATTAAATACGTATTTAAAAACACAATGCTGGGCATTTGCTAGGCACGTAATGACGGGTGTTTTCATCTGCATCGAACCTGTCTCACTATGGTGGGGCATTTAGGGCAGATGGTCAACTTGCCCAGAACGCTGGGCTCTTAATGAATCTGGACCCGTCACTTCTCCCTCTTCCCTCAGCCGCCCGGTGAGGCCCCGCCGCCCGGCCCTCCCCCCGCTCAGTCCCGGCGTCCCGCCGCCTCCCGCCGAGCTCCGTCTCTCCACCTCCCCCGGCGCGAAGCCCTCCGGCTCCCAGGACCACCGGACAGTCCGTCCTCCGCCCGCACGGCCCTCCGTGCCGGCCCCGCCGCCGGTGAAGCCCCACACCCTCATGTCCGACGGGGCCCCGCGCAAGCTGCCCGCCCCGCACCCCGACGGCGCCGCCCGGGGCCCTCCCGCAGCCCCGACGCCCGGCCTGGCGGGCACTCCCCCGGCGCCCTCGTCAGTCCCCGGCCGCCCGGCGTCCACCTCGTGGAGGGAGGGTCCGCACGGACTGTGCCGTGAGGGCAGCTCCTCCTTCGCGGCTGAGGGCACCCACCAGGCGGGCTGTTTGACCCGAGGACAGGGGAACCCCCGGGAGAGAGGGAGCCATCGGGGGGCAGGTGTTGGGTGAGAGCGGCGCGTGGGGCGGGCCTACCGGTCCTTGCGCAGCTTCAGGAGCCGCCTCACGTCCTCTCTGCCCGCGGGGGCCGGGCCGGCGCGCTCCCAGGCCTCCGTCAGAAGCCGGCTCTTCTCCAGGCCGAAGACGTGCGGGGGCGCGGCTCCCGGGGCGGGGGGCGGCGGCGGCGGCGGCGGCGGGGGCGCGGGCGCCTGGAGACTCGAGGCAGAGGGTGGGAAGGCGAAGTCGGGGGGACGTGGGGGCAGGGGCGGAGGTGGGGTGACGGGGGCCGGGGATGAAGGAGGGGCTGGGGACTCCCGCGGGGAAGAGCACGAAGTCATTTCGGAGGCCGTGGCATGGGCTGGGAGGATGGGGGAGAGAATGACCCTTCAAAACGGGCCGGGCTCGGGGACGGGGAGGTTGACGGCTTTCGGACGGAGGCCCGGCAGCGGGAGGCTGCGCAATGCGGTGGAGAGAACCGGCGCTAAATCTGGGACCATGGGAGCGAGGATTGGGACTGACTCCAATCCGGAGCTCTGGGGTAACAGGGCGCGTCCTTTGATTCGGAACCAGATCTGTGGAATGCAGTTGGGTTGCGGGGCTGAAAGAGGGAGATGTAGTAGTTAATTTATTACTCGTTGCTAGGTTTGGAAACGTGGGTCCGTTTTGGGATGTGAAGACCTGGGGCGAGGCACCTAAAGGGTGGGATTTAGAGGCCCAAGGCTAAAGGCCAGGTAAGAATTTAGGCTCAGTCCCCCCTCATCCCAGGCCCGAGTTTGGAACCTTGGAGCTGACCTTTGAGTCAGAGGTCAAGAGGTCAGAAGGACACCAGGCAGGAAAAATGGCCTAGTTGTGGAGAAGGTCTTGGAGTCAGAACACAACAGGAAAAGCCTGTGGTGGGATAGGGAAGGCTCAGAGCTCGGAGGCCGTCGGGAGCCGCGATCCCGGTGGGATCGGGAATGGAGTCAAAGTACAGCGAACTTCCCTTCCCCAAAATGGCGGCCGCCGCCCACAGCCTTTCCCGTCGGACGTGTAGGTCTTGCGTGGGTCCCCGCCCCTTTAGCGACCACGTGACAGAGCGCAGGCCCGCAGGGGAGAGGTGGGGCTTCCAGAGGACGCCTCCGAAGAGACCGCCGCGCGAGCCGCGACCCTATTGGCCAGAAACGCACTCTTCACTGATTGGCCTGAAGGCTTGCGGGGAATGGCGGAGTTTTTCTCCTGAGGCGGGAACCTCAAGTGCCCTTTTGATTGGCAAATTTTGGGTCGAGATTGTCGAGATCTGTCCCGAGATTTTATTGGCAAAGTCGGGCGAGACTTACTCTGATTGGTCAAGCTACCAAATTTCCGCGCGGGGATTGGCTTGCAGCACGATAAAGGCGGAGCCAGGAAAGAAAGCTTCGCGCTGGGCATTCAGAAGCGCAGAAGCAGCCACTAGCGGACCTGTAGCGCCATTGGTAAGTAAAGGCGGGCGCAGGCGGCCTCTGCGGGCGGGCGGAGCGCTTGGTGTCCGTTTCTTCCCTTACCTCGTGTGGAGAAACTATTTTCCTGCTGCGCGTGGCCAAGGCACCACAAAATCGCCCCTCCTTTAACCGGCGCTTACATCCGGGTTCTTTTTCTTGGGCCGCCCTGTGAGCGCGTGGGCCAATGGGAATCACCGCTTAGTACGCTCAGTCTATTAAGTCGCGCGGAGCATCCTGGGACTCGGAGTAAACCTCGACATTTCCCCTCGTGGTGCCCTGCATTCGCTTTGTTTTCCAAACTGTGCTCTTGGCTTCCCTCCTCCCCGGCTCACCTGACATCTTCCTGGAAGGAAAATCCCGGGAGCCTGTTAAGCCCACCTCGGTCAAAGGATTTTGAGAGACCCGGGGTTGAGGTTACCTTTTTCCTTCTTTCAGCCCTACCGCGGCACCTCCCTCCATGGCAGTTCCCGAGACCCGACCCAACCATACTATTTATATAAACAACCTCAATGAGAAGATCAAGAAGGATGGTGAGTTCTCGAAGGAGACCAGACTTCAGGCTGTCTCGCACGGGCCGGCCCCTCTTTCATCCCCAGCATCTACTTCTGCAGCCATCTCTTTCAGGCGAAATACGAGTTAACTCCTCCGTCTTTGCACATGCTGCTTCCTCTTGCTTTAACACTCCCCTAGCTCATCTTCCCTTCTGTCCATTAACCTGGTCACTGTTGCTCATCCTTAAAGGACCCCTCCCCCAGGAGGCCTTCCCCATCTTCTTTCCCCTCAGATGCCAGATTTCCATAGGCCTTGCCTCCTCCCACATCCCAAGCCCTGATGGTTCTGGGCTGTTAGGGCGCTGTCTCTCCACTGCCCTGTGAGCTACATGAGAGCAAGAACTGGGGCTGGTTTAGTCAGTGTCCTGTTTTCAATGAACAGCCCACAATGACAATGTTTCATTTCAAAATGAAATGAATAATGATGTATAACACTCTATACCAGGTGCTGATACACGTCCTAATTATATTTAATTTTCACAACTCTACAGGAAGTAGTTATTGTTCCCATTTCTCAGATTAGGAAACTGAGACTCAGGGGTGATGTGACTTGCCCAGGGTCACACAGTAAAGAAAAATAGTTGATGTCACCACTGTGGAATTCTGCTTAAGAACTTGATTCTTTTCTTTTGTAATCTTCGAGGACATGTTCATTGATTTGAGAGAGAGAAACACCGATGTAAGAGTGAAACATCAATTAGTTGCCTTCCATATGTGCCCTGATCTGAATCGAACCTCTTACCTTTTGGTGTAATGGATGATGCTCCAACCAACTGAGCCATACCAACCAGGGCACACCCGATTATTATTATTTTTTAAAAATATGTTTTTATTGATTTCAGAGAGGAAGAGAGAAACATCAATGATGAGAGAGGACAATTGATCGGTCCCTCCTACACACACCCTACCGGGGATCCAGCTCGCAACCCAGACATGTGCCCTTCCTTCACTGGAATCGAACCTGGGACGCTTCAGTCAGCAGGCCGAAGCTCTGCCCACTGAGCCAAACCAGCTAGGGCTTAAGTATATTTTTATTGATTTCAGAGAGGAAGGGAGAGGAAAGAGAGAGTCATTGATCAGTTGCCTCCTGCACACCCCCTGTTGGGGATCGAGCCTGCAACCCAGGCATGTACCCTTGACCAAAATCGAACCTGGGACCCTTCAGTCCGCAGGTTGACGCTCTATCCACTGAGTCAAACTGGCCAGGGCCAAACCCAATTCTTGACATCAGACATACCTTTTCATTTTCTTCAAGTTATCACCTTTATTGAACCTCTTAAATATTTTCTATATTTAAGAACTGGGCAAAATCACAATAGCTTCTTTGCATTGATGTTTCGGGGATTAAATTAGTTAAGCCTCCATACAGTGCTTTTTTTAAAAAAAATTATATTGATTTCAGAGAAGAAGGGAAAGGGAGAGAGAGAGAAAAACATCAATGATGAGAGAGAGTCATTGATCGACTGCCTCCTGCACGCCCCCTACTGCTGACTTTTGCGGGATTGCTGACTCATGGTATTCTGGGCATTCTTTGTTGGCTGATGTTTCCCTTCTGGGCTGCACTTTCCACTGAAAACAGGAGCTTACGACCCAGGCATGGTACCAAGGCCTCTAGTCACCCATGGATCTTTCTTCCCCCCACTGTAGAGCTGAAGAAGTCCCTGTATGCTATCTTCTCCCAGTTTGGCCAGATCCTGGATATCCTGGTGTCACGGAGCCTGAAGATGAGGGGCCAAGCCTTTGTCATCTTTAAGGAGGTCAGCAGCGCCACCAACGCCCTGCGCTCCATGCAGGGCTTCCCCTTCTACGACAAGCCCATGGTGAGCACTGTGGGTATGGAGGGTATGTGCGCACTTGTGTGTGAGGTGCTAGAGGAGACTGGATGGGCCTGGATCTCCTGGCACCTGTATTCCAGTCCTTTAAGGACAGGAGTTTCTCTTGCTGTTCTCACGTTTACTGTTCACTGGACTAGGGTTTGGGTCACACAATACCTAAGGGAACCCTGCCCTCTCGGACTCACAGTGCTGTGAGAGAGACAAGTTTGTCAACAGATGGTGACAACTCAGGAGTCGGCTGTAATGGGGGTTGTGTGCAGAGCTAGACAAGCTTAGGAGAGGCACCTCAACCAGGCTGGGGGTTCAGGGAAGGCCTTCTTGATGAGGTGAGACTTGAAGAAGTGTTAGCTGGGGGGGTAGAGGGAAAAAGAATGTTAGGCAGAGGGACCATGAGGACTAAGGCCCAGAGATAACCAAGAGCATATGTATTTGAGGAAGTGAGTCAAGTTCATTTGGCTGGAGTGAAGGCAGGAGGTGTGGGGAGGACATAGCCTGCAGAGCATGACCAAAGTTTGTCCTGAAATTGGAAGTGACTCCTGGGGTGCTGCAGAGCCATGGAAAGGTTTAGGCCGGGAGGTGGCTGTGGCTCTTGGATAGAGTGGCTTGGAGGAGAGAATTCAGGGTCCGGTGTGAAGGAGAGGCTGGGTCAGACTCCCAGGCAGGCTGGGATGAGAGAAAGGTGGCTGGATTGCAGATGTTCACAAGATCAAGTGAATGACCAAGGAGGCTGCAGTCTGGGAGGTAAGGAGTGGCATGAGCTGCACTGTCTGCCAGATTGCTGGCAGACATCTTTGGTCGTTGGTTCATTGGGCCATTTTCCTTGTTCCTTAATAGATTTTTCAGTTTGACTTGGTTAGAATGTGCCTCCCTGAGCCATTTTCCTTGGGGAGGGGACAGCATGTGTCAGTGCCTGCAGGTCCCAGGCAGGTGACCTCAGTGGGGGAGGAGGGTCATGTGGGAGAGTGTCGGCTGGGGCAGCAGAGAAGCCTGGGTATCGAGCCCGAAGCCCAAGCATATGCCCTGACCGGGAATTGAACCATGACCTCCTAGTTCAGTGATGGTGAACCTTTTGAGCTCGGTGTGTCAGCATTTTGAAAAACCCTAGCTTAACTCTGGTGCCGTGTCACATATAGAAATTTTTTGATATTTGCCACCATAGTAAAACAAAGACTTATATTTTTGATATTTATTTTATACTAGAGGCCTGGTGCACAAAAATTTGTGCACTGGGGGGGGGGGGGTCCCCCTCAGCCTGGCCTGTGCCCTCTCTCAGTCTGAGACCCCTTGGGAGATAACGGCCTGCTGGCTTAGGCCTACTCCTGGGTGGCAGAGGGCAGGCCCAATCCTTAGGTACAGCCCCTGGTTGGGCTCAGAGCAGGGCCGATTGGGGAGTTGGGGCGCCACCCCCTGTCATGCAGAGAGCAGGGCGGATTGGGAGGTTGCGATGCCACCCTCAGTCATGCTCAGGGTAGGGCTGATTGGGGGGTTGGGGCACCGCCCCCTGTCACACTCAAGGCAGAGCCGATGGGGAGGTTGTGGCGCCAACCCCTGTCACGCACAGAGCAGGGCCAATCAGGGGGTTGGGACGCTGCCCCCTGTCACGCACAGAGCAGGGCCGATCAGGGGGTTGGGGAGCTCCCCCCTGTCACGCACAAAGCAGGGCCAATCTGGGGGTTGAGGTGCTGCCCCCTGTCACACACAGAGCAGGGCCCATCAGGGGGGTTGGGGCTCCTTACCCTGTCACACACGGAGCAGGGTCGATCAGGGGGTTGGGGCGCTGCCCCCTGTCATGCACAGAGCAGGGCCCATCGGGGTTGGGGAGCTTCCCCCTGTCACGCACAGAGCAGGGCCCATCAGGGGGTTGAGGAGCTCCGCCCTGTCACTCAGAGAGTAGGGCCGACAGGGGGTGGGGCCACAACCTCCCTATCCACCCTGCTCTGTTCGTGACAGGGGAAGGCGCCCCAACCTTCTGATCAGCCCTGCTCTGTGCCTGATACGGGGGAGCTCCCCAACCTCTGATCGCCTTGCGGCTCTGTGTGTGACAGGGTGCGGCGCCCCAACCCCCTGATCGGCCCTGCTCTGTGTGTGACAGGGTGCAGCACCCCAACCCCCCCCCCCCCCCACGGGCCCTGCTCTGTGTGTGATGGGGTAGAGCCATAACCTCCCCATCGGCCCTGCCCTGAGT